ACTCTCGAAGGACGAAACGAAAGAAGAAATAATAATAATAATAATAATAATAATAATAATAGTAATAATAATAATAATAGTAATAGTAATAATAATAATAATAGTAATAATAATAATAATAATAATAATAATATCTAAAGGAAAGACAATGCTTGTTTTAATTAGCTACACTTCGTCCAAATCTTCCTAAATTTTAATTTTTTTGGACACAGCATCTGCAAGATCTTTTGTTTATAAAAAACTCACGGGAAATCTCAGGAGTGATTTATATACAAGTTGAATCGTTTATAGTCATCAGTTCAATTCAGATTTCTTGGCTATGTAAGTGTATCGACTATCGTATGCAATTCTTGGTCTACGAACGATCTATCTGTCAAAAATCGACAATACCGAAAATGCTAGTTCGCGAGAGAACGATCGATCTTTTCATCCGGCATCTCTAAAAGAAACGTGACCATCAAAGAAGAAACGATCGTATATAAAATGTCGTGCGCGTTTTCCGCGTTTCGTATCCTTAAAACGCTTGCTTCATCAAAGAAAAGCAAACCGTATCACTCGCTCTTAAAAACCGAATTTTTCTTCGTGCGAGTCGAAAGAGAAGAAGAAAGAGACAGCAGGAAATTCTTTAAAAGGAAAAAAAAAAGAAAAAAGAAAAATCAATTTGAAACTCGTGGAGAATCGTGATTTGTGTTTGGTAAAAAAATTGATTAAAAAATTCCATACGACGATACGATGCGATATGGACGATACTTGGTAAATATAAATAAAAATACGAATGTGATAAAAAGACACGAATCTTTTTCTCCGATAATTTTTTTCCTATTAACATATTATTTCTTAGTAATTTTTTTTTTTTTTTTTATGGAGTTACATCTATGTATGTACACACTTCATTTTTGTTCTTTTTTTTTTTTTTTTTAAGCGCAAACGAATATATAGATATGTTACAATCCTGTCACCAGCGTTAAAAAGAACGATCGACATTCGTATCGATAGACCGATAGATTAACATCACGATTGATGATGAGGACGGTGCTCGAAGGTCTCGGTAATTAAACGAGGCGGAGTAATAAACGTGGCGGGAACGATCGAGCCGCGAACTGTTTTTAACAGACCGATGTCTGGTGAAGTTTGAGCGAGAAAGTAAACGAGAAAAAAGAAGCAGAGGACGCTCCTCGTGGGAACAAGTTGGGAAATTTCATTATTTAATTACGCGCGAAAGAGAAACTGAAAAGAACCTGAAGAATGCGCTCTAACTATCAGCCATTGAACTTCCGTTTCAAATTCGAAGATCTATCTCGACACGTAACGACATAAAATTTTAATTGGAGTAGAAAGTTTAGAAGTGATCTAAATATACTGAGTATCAATCCAAAGTAGCCAGAGTTTTGACTCAATTAAATCCACAAAACTACCATATATAGTCTTAAAAAAAAAAAAAAAAAATAAAAAAACACGAATGTATCATCTATTTTGATTAATAACGATACCAATCACGAGCTACCGTATTTAGAAAAAAAAAAAAAAAGAAATTCAAACCTAATAGTACGATCTGATCATCGAAAATTTCTCCTAACTGTACCATTTTCGCGAGTCGAAACAAATTCCACTCGACCAGAACACGAAGTGTTCGCGAGGTAAAGTCTCCGAAAGAAACGACGAACGATATCTTCGTCAGAGCGAAGATGAATTTGTCAGATTGTTGTAAATCTCAGAGAGACGGGAATCACGGCAAAAAGACCAACGACGACGACGACGACGTTTAGGAGGAGCGAGGATGGTCGATGGATGATGGGAAATGAGTGGTAGCGAATGAAGCAGAGGGAACAGGACGGCCAGAGGTGCACATCGGGTGTAGAACGTCGCTAGTCGGCCTGGCTCTCTTTAGCATTAACACGCGATATACCAGAAAAACCAGTTTGCGGGCTTTTTATTAGGCCTTTACTTTCGCTTGCAAACTGAAAGGAAGAGTGAGCGAGTGAGCGAGCGAACGAACGAACGAACGAACGAACGAACGAACGAACGAACGAACGAACGAACGAACGAGGCCTGATTAGCTTCTAGTCGGTGAGCGAGCGAGCAAAGTGACTGACTGTGAGTTGACTAACGGGGTCACCAGTCGATACGGACACGCACGTAAAAGAGAGACGCCAAATCGTGAGCAATATGCATCCTCTCTCCCTTCGTCTCTCTTCGTGTTTTTCTCCCGGTGTTTTATATGTATTCTAATAATATGTGTGCCTGTGTCTATGCGTGTTACGTATTCGCAAGGAGAAACAGAGAAAGAGACAGATAGAAACGCGTAGAAACGCCGGGAGATCCCCGCGGATTTCTCTGTGCGTGTATAGAACGGATTACACACGCGCGGATACACATACACATGCACGTTTGCACAGGCGGCACCGCGGCAGCGATTCGCGGGACAATACAACTTGCAAGTTCGTCGCACGCCAGCCTCTGCGTTTTGTTATTATGCAAATGCGTTTTTATCACGATCGATGAAACACAGAGGCACGCGTGTATTCTGCTTCGCATAGCGACGCGTTACACCAACCTGTTAAATAATTATCAAAGTATCGAGATGATAGGAAAAAATTATGCAAGTCGTTGGTCAGGGACTTAGGGCCGTTGCGAGGATCGTTCGATTTCACGTACGTATGCGTGTGTATGTGTATGTGTATCGCTTACGTACGGAAGATTACAGGAGAAAATATATACGAGAAGCAGAGTTTTGTTAATTTTCTCGTTTTCAAGTTACGTAGTATCGAGCTAAAATGGGACACTTTGATGTTACCCGCATTCGTTCTGAAAGCGGTTAGCCTTTTAGCAATATGTAGAGCGCAACCCTGTAGTAGGGTGTGTATCCAATGTTTAAAATTCTCTTTGATCAAATTTCATAAGGGACAATTTTGGTAAAAGATACAAAGAAACCAAGAAATGTCATCTCGCGTCTTTCTCCTATAATATTCATCCATCTACGTGTACAATTTTGCGTAACGAAGAACTACTGTCTTTTAATAATTTTTCTCGAATTTCCTTTGACGTGTCCTTCGATGAATCCTAAGTCTCAATGTTTTTACTTCGGCATAATGCTAGGACTGATTGTGAGAGAAAAATCTCTTAGTCTCTGGATCCAGGTAAATAATCAACTTTTGTCTCAATTGCATACCTGTCGCGTGTGTGTATATGTGTGTGTCTGATTATTTACGTTTCCTTCCTGTTTGCTTGTTCCTTCACGCGACGTGACAGCGCTGGTTGACGTAAACGTTAAAAGAAAAGAAATAAGAAATTGATAAGAAACATCTCTCACCTCTCGTTCATTTTTTCTTTTCTTCCTCACTCTTTTACTCTTTTCTCTCTCTCTCTCTCTCATTCTCTCTCTCCGCGTACAAACTCTCTCTCTCTCTCTCTCGTTCTCTTTCCCGTTGTCACACCGAATTTTTTCTTCTTCTCAATCTTATATATCACGTTACAGTAATATCTAAATGAAATGTGTTCACAGCCACACATTAATATTTTATACATAGATTTTATACATGTATTTATATATTTAAATATATATATATATATATTTATATATTTATAATATTCCTTTTTTGCAAACGCCACGCCCGTTAATGTTTCTATTTTTTTTTCTTTTTTTTGTAATAATAGCCTTAATTTGAATTTACTTTTCCTTATCCTTTTTTTTATGTTTTTTTTTCTTTTGTGAAATCTGTGTACGTTACGTTATCACTACCTTTCCTTTAGTTACGCTCTCGCACGTTCGTCTGTTATAATATTTTTTTTTGCCTTTTTTTATTTTTTTTTTTTCTTCGTTTTAGGAAAAGAGAAAAGAAAGAGGAGCGACCATGGAACGCTGACGAACGCTCTACATCGCCGCAATCAGTCGGTCCTTTTCGTCCTTTGAATCAAAATTCAACTTCAGGCGTCCTCTTGTCCGTTCGTTTCTTCCTCCTCGTCGCCGGCGGTTTCTTTTTCCCTCGTTTTCTTTCCTTTTCTTCTTGTCACGATATCCCAACTCTCGATTCCAATTCGTCGTCGTTTCTCCATTCTCGTAATCTTCGCAATTGACTTCACTTCTTCCGGTTTCGTTTAGAGTCACGTTAGTAAACCGACGCCACCGTTTCCCCGGGAATTCTGAAAAGCGCGCGTGTGTACATGTACATACTTCTTTTCTCGACGCGCGCACAGTCTCTGTCCCCCTCTCTCTCTCTCTCTCTCTCTCTCTCTCTCTCTCTCTCTCTCTCTCTCGCTCTCGCGCGCGCGCGCGCGCGCGCCACTGTTAGCGATTCATTTACATACATGCGTCCATTTCGTTTTATCGACGCGCACACCGACGAGAGTATAACGAGAGTAAATTCGTCGTATCTGTTTGAACCGCGCATGCGCAATCGCGGCTTCCGCCGTCTCTCCTCACCGTCCGTTCGAATTCGTTATTTAGGCACAACACATTATTTTCTGTTACTTTTTCTATATATTCGCTTCGCTTCGTTTTCTTCATCCTTTTTTTTTTTTTTTCTTTATCTAGTTTGTTTCAACGTTTTTTTTCTTCTTTTTTATTATTTTTTTTCCGTCTGTTTCGTTTTGGAGTCTTGTAGTCTCTCGATTGATCCCCTACGACCGTTTGTTTGACAGCGAAGTACCATCGCGAGTTTTGGTCCTTCCCTCCGCGACTGATCGTCCACCGCACAGCTGGACCGCACGCGTCCAGGAGAGACAGAAAGATATAATCCGGGACGGAAACGAAGCGCAATATTACAAATCAAATGTTCCCGTCGTGAAGCTGGAACCTTCTCCTCCCCTGGATCTCTTCAGTCTTCCGCGAAACTGTTTCTCTTTTTTTTTTTCATATATTTTTTTTCTTTTTTTCTTTAAATTTCACTGTCACCGATCCGCTATCTCGAACGACATGACACCACATCCTCCACGATCCGTCGCTGAATCGATCACGACGGATTCGTTCTTCTTTTTTTTTTTTTTCTTTTTCATTTTCCTTCTCCTTTATCTCGACGAGAACGTCTCTCGTCTACGTCACACTACGGATCTCGATCGGTGTTGTTCGGCGTTCGACGAGTGTCCAAGCGTCAACTGAGGAACAAGCAACTCCGCTGCTGCTTTGGCCTGTTGTCGCGAACGATCGACGATCGACATCGTCGTTGCTCCTCGAGATTTTCGACCAAATGGGAACTAGAGCGATCAGCGTCGCGTCGATGGTGGCCCGAGCGAGGACGTTCGCCTTGCCGGTCGGTGAGCAGAGGTTCGTCGGTAGTTTGATGATTTCCGAAGATGGTAGAGATATCGCGGACGTCGGTGACGGTACCGGTGGCGGTCGTAGCGGTGATAATGGCGGTGCTAGCGGCGACGATGGCATTGGCGTCAATGTCGCATCACGACGAGCACGCCATCCACGAGTTGCAGGTGCACGTGTAGCACGCGGTGGGTATCACTGGAGCGTAATAGTAACCGTTCGCGTAAACGTAGGTGGCCGGTGGTCCGGGCGGTGCTTGCTGATGATTCGTCAGCCGTTGCTGTTGCTCCTGGCAGAACACTTGGTAGGCGAGGTTCTCGATGAGCGCGAGTGTCTGCCGTCTCTCGTGGCCCATCAGGCACACGGTGGACTCCTCGACCACGCTGTGGAGCAACATCAGGTACTGGTACTTGAGAGCTTCCTCCTCGGGCCCGACGAAGTGATTCCACAGGTAGTTCTCGAGTTTGGCGCGCTGCTGGCTGATGTCGGGGAAATCGATGAAGAATCTCGAGCACATGTACCGCTCGAGGGTCTTTATGTAATCGGGCTGAGATGGCTTGTACATCTTGACCAGGAGGTTGCAATACTTGAGCAGGCCGCCGCCGCGTATCTCTTCCGGATGCCTCGTCGAGATCAGCTTCTTGTGAAGGTGGTACAACGCCTCTTGGAAGTCACCGTACACCGACTCGCCGACCACCGTCGGATAGAAGTTCTCGCCGATCGGCAGCTTGCTGCACTCGTAAAACAGAAGGAGCGAGTCGAGCACGATCTGGAACGAGTCGACCGAGAACTCGAACTGCCGCCTCATCGAGTCGACGAACTTCAGCTCGACGTTCCTGTGGCCACGGGAATTCCCAAGGGAGATTAGGGACCATCGGTCCCCGTCGTTGTTCACTTTCACCATCTTGCTCACGTACGCTTCCTTCAGGCTGCACGTGGTGATCCGCTTACGGCTGACACCTTCCGGCAGCAGGTCGAACAACGAGCCGAGCACCGCGGCCTTCACCTTGTCGTAGTTTCGGCCGCTCGACAGCTCCACCGCGAATATCAGGTCCAGGTCGTTGTACGGCTGCGACTCGGTGGCCAAAACGTGAGAGGCAGCGCCGCCGTTCAATCTTATGTCGCGTACCCTCATACCGGCACCGCCATTGCTCGGGTCGGACTCCAGTTTGCTACGGACCACGGTCACCAGGTCTCTCAAACGGACTTCCAACGTGGGGAAGTTTCCACGGCCGTGGATGCACACCACCTCGTTCATCACGTCGTTCAATCGTCGTACCTGCTCGAAACTGAGCACCGCCAGCCTCTGCTGCGGATCCGGACAGTCTGAGTTGTTGTGACTGTTGTTGTTCCCGTTGTTGGCGTTGCTCTCGTTGGCCCCGTTGCTGCCGCCGTTGCTCTTCGTGCCGTTCACCTGGCACAGGGACTCCATCATAGCGACCCGACGCTGGCGTTCCTCGCCGATCTCCAGGGAGCCACACTGTAATGGAAAGGAAACAGGAGACGTTATTAACCGTAGCATTGTTTCCGCGTTCGGTTACCTTTCTATTATTACGATTATTGCTACGTCCCTAAATGGATATCTATTATTACTATTCAGTATATGTCGTATATGGGTGAAGTAAAATGAAAGTTACTTTTAATTAACTCTCAATATCTCGTTATACGTGATGTTTAATATTATGCAAAGATTCGAAAGTCTTGGGGCGATTTGTGTTTTTCGATAAAATCTCGCTGTTTGATGCGAATGCTTGAAATAAGAGCTCTTTCGAAATAGAATAGACGGCATATAAAGGTGCAGAGTGAACTAGAAACATCAAAATCAATCAGTAAGTTAGCGAATTTTAATATCCTTATCAATTCTAATTTCAATTATAGATTCATCTGTTAGAAGATATCGCAAAGTCTACAAAACAAAATGTGATAACGCAGCGTGACGTATTATGCAATGGGAAATCCAGAACCTAATCTAACTTAATCTAAGAGAGATACAACGAACTCTTGTTCCAACGATCTTAATCTCTGGTCAACTATCGATCTAAGTTGACTTGCGAGAAACAAAGTTTTTCAATGAAAAAAAGAACGAACAAATTTATTACACGCTCCCTCGAAATTCCTGATCCGTACGAAGCTCGCGAAGGAACGTTCAAGTCGACTAGCTCTGTCACTATGAAACGCTTACGGACTTCTTCGTAGTAGTTGGTGAGTTTAGAAATGCCACGAGGTTACGTCCGGGTAGTGTGCACGAGATGCACACCCTTTTTCGATCGTTCGAAACGATTCGCGTTTCCACGAGAAAGCGAGATATTTTTTTTTGTCCTCTCTTTCGTTTCTCAAAATGTCTTCTACTCTGTTTCGCGATTGAAGAACACTTCTCCTTCTTCTTATCGGAAGCTTCGAGTCAAAGAGCTAGAGATCAATAGGTTTGTTCAGCCTAATTTCTTCTTTCTTTAATCCTGTTACGTTAAAAGATCTTCCAAAGATCGCGTAGTAGGATCTCTGAAGTATCGTGGAAATTTCTTTGGTGTTTCAAAATTCCTTGGGACTTTGAAGGCTCTTTGGTATCGGGAAATGTTTTAAGATGTGTCGAAAGTGTTTCGCGACGTGTCGCAAGAGCCTTTAAAAGATCTGCGAAAGTCTCTTAATTTCTTGAGAGATTATCCGTCAGCTGAGAAGCTGCAAGTCCCTCGTAGCCTTTCGAGTGCTCCACGACCTCTCTCAGAGATTCGAAACAATTTCTGAAGTCAAATCGAATTTCTTTACTGTTCAAAAAAGTATTCAGAAAATTCCCGCGTTCTAAAAATTCCTTAATTGTTTCAGAAGTTTACGAGAAATTCTGTCAGCATTTAAGAAATTTCCAACACCACGTCAGCTTCAAGATTCCTCAAAATTTCGAGCTGGTTCACAAAATCCCTCGTCATTGTAAAGAAAAAAAAAAAAAAAAAAACTTAATTTGAACACTAAAAACCACCAAAACTCTTTCAAAAATCTCGAACAAAATTTTCCTAATGTTTCACGTATCTCTTCGAAAGGTAACGATTTCGATTCGTCAAAATTTCAAGCTGCTTCATCATTGTGAAAAAAAGAAGAGACGTCGAAAATATTCCTTAATTTATAATTAAGGAATTTGTTGGATCTATCTTATAGATATATTATAATCGCGACATCTCGTATCGGTTAAGTGTACAACTAGTATGTATGTGTATGTATTATTTATATAACCAGCTCGAACGTATTGTCAAGCTTCATCTTTGTAATAAGAGTCCGCCGAGGAAGAAAGATGATTTTTAAAATTGTTATGCCTAAGTAAATTCCAAAGTGATTATTACCTCGTCAGTTATTATAAAGCCACACTGCGCTACGCGCTTCAACAGAATTTGTATCATAAAGAATATATTTATAATTAACTATATATTTATAATATTTATATTATAAAGAACATATTACGATTAATTCTAAATGTTCCGGAAAGACACTTTCAAACAGCGCGGAAGAAAAATTTTCCCAATACCCTAATAACTATCTTAACGCGTCTCTTCGACGAGTCTCGAGAAATAACGGTCTCGATCTCCGTTCCGACGATTAAAAAATCTCGATCTCGAGACGTCGATCGACCGTATGTACGTACGTACGATCGAGCAGGTCGACGTCATTCGACAGTCAGTCAGCTGTTGAAGGTAAACAGCGAGGAGAGAACTCGATTGGAGGAGCAATCCGGGGGCCAGTCGAGAGAGTTCGCTGGTCGATTCTCTCGTTCACGGTCGCGAGTGCACGGTTCGTTTAATTATCGTTAGTTGGTTAGCGCAATAACGCGTTGACGAGCTCGTCTCTATTCATCGGAGCTTATCGACGAGCCTGCAACAAGCTTCAGATATTAATCGGACGAGCGAGCCGATAATAAACCGGTCGTTCAATCGAAATTCCTCGTCGAAATGCCAGAAGCCGCTCTCCTCTTTCCCGCGATCGTTTCTCTCGCTCGCCGTGCACTTGGGGAACGACAACACCTAATCATGGTAACATCGTTAGCTAATTGCCCCACGCTCGATCGACCAGTTGCGTCACTTGACGATCCGCTTGGAACGACATTCATTATTATATCACGCGAATGGCTAGTCGTTATGATTTTCTTTTTCCTTTCCACGTTTTCTTTCAACGAGAAACGAAAAGAGAGAACGTACGGGAGTCGAACGAAGTTTCTACGAGAAGGAGAAACGTTTCTTTTCTTCCTGCTCGAAATTGGAATCACTCGAGGCGAGGGTAAAGATTGATAAGAGCGGCTGTTAAGTTGACAGATACTGTTATCTGCCTTTCTTCCTATTAGCGGCGATAGTGACTGCGTTGCGTCACAGGCAACTTGCCTCGTTCAAATTACCAGCTAACCGAGAGATATACCTCTTTGATCCGCGCAATGTTCATCGACTGACTCCTTCAACCGTTATTTCACTTCTCTGGAAAACGTAGCCCAACGTGGACAGTTGCGCTACTGAACTTTCAATTTTATCACAGACCATGGCCAACTATCGTTCACCGGTAACGATACTACAACAGAGAATTCGCACGAGACCAGAGAGATTGAGATCTCTTTTGGCAACAGAACCACAGCTGCGCTCGACACGTTACAGTCACCGAATAACCACGGGATTATGCCAGCAGCCACGGGGATTCACCGAGAATCAGCCGGCTGACCAGGCTCGGGCTACTTTCACTCGAGCAGGGTGCACTCTCCGGTCTAGTCTGTTGCGCGAACGATCACGAAATGTAATCGAACTACCACCTGTGGAGCACCGGTGTTTCGCCTCTGCGGGTTTTCACAATTATCCGAGGAATCCGTCCCCTTACCATGAAGAACAACCCGCACCGCGTCGTCTTCTGGCTCGTCGTGCAACAGGCGTTGGGCGATTCACTTTTCCGGAACTTGGCCGAACTCAACTGTTTCGATATTTCTCTGTTATTGAAAAAAAAACAGACACTAGAACGACACTAGAAAAATTCGGAATTTTAAAATCTAGGATCTCCGAAACTTGACGAGACTCTTTTCTCTCTCCTCTCTTTAAACGGCTGTTCTTTCAATCGCGCGCGAAACGGAACAGTGGCGAGACGAATTCGTGGACCCGCTCGATCAACGAGTAGATCCGCAGCTGATGAGAGGCAACAGCGAACTGAGGCGAGCTCGGTGAAAGGCGTACGAGGAAGACTGGCGGCGATTGGTGGCGGCGGTGGTGGAGACACTACCACCAACACACAGCGGCGGTAGCGACGTTCTGAATGTATCAGGGGGGGCAGCACAAAGCTATCACGCCGCTATCGACGCCTCTCTGAGAGAGCGCCGAGCCTTCGTGGTAAATCTCATCATCGCACGTTCCAGATGAGGTTTGTTTCACGCTGCTTGGCATTCTCGTCGAACTGTCGTCGGCGTCGTTAGTCTGGTCTGTGGCTTATTTACGCTTGTGGGGAAAATTGGGGGATATACAGAAATGAAAGTGAGCTCGAATATTTAGAAGGCAGATTTCTGTTTCTTGATCGTCTTTGCAAATATAAACGCGATGATTGCTGTTCAATCGCGAGCAAATGTAAACGTGAGTGAACGCGATACAAATAACGAGTAAATATTAATTAAATTCTGATGTGGCTTATGGGAAAATTGGAGGGAAATGGAGTAGAGTGTGAGTGTACTTTCAACGGAGAAGATAGATTTCTGTTTTTTTTTTTTTTTTTTTTTTTTCCTTTTTGTCAATTTCCGGCTGAAAGTACGTCGAATAGTAGAAAAA